CTGCCGGCTCATGTTCAGCTGGCTGTCAACCAGCACCCCCAGGTCCTTTTCCGCCAGGCAGCTTTCCAGCCACTCTTCCCCAAGCCTGTAGCGCTGCATGGGGTTGTTGTGGCCCAAGTGCAGGACCCGGCACTTGGCCTTGTTGAACTTCATACAGTTGGCCTCGGCCCATCGATCCAGCCTGTCCAGGTCCCTCTGCAGAGCGATATTTGTGTATGTATGAAAGAGACAAGGCAGAGCATCTTGTTTTATTTCTCTCCACTTACTGTAGCTTTTTTTACCACAAATAATGATAAAACCAAATTGGGGGAGGATTGGGGATCAGGCCTGACAATTCATGGATTTTCATAAATATCTGAAAACATGCCTAATTAGCTTGCTTATACACTTCTGAAAACACTAAACGTTAATGTCAATGTGGAGGTGCTCAGGCAAGTAATAATATGGATTGACATAGAGTCCATAAACGTGTGTCCCAGTATTATTTAGTCCAGTGGTTCGCTTTCTGCCAATATCTTCTTTTTCTCTTCAGACAACTTTGTGGTAGATTCCAGCTCTTGTGTCCGTGCATGTCCGAGCTCCAAGATGGAGGTTGAAGAAAATGGTATTAAGATGTGCAAGCCGTGCACTGACATTTGTCCTAAAGGTAGGCAGTAGTTTAGTATAAATTTTCTTGAATGCGGTCTACACTGTAGTAGAGCAGAGCGAGGTGTTATTTTGGCATAAAATACCCTTCATGAGTATGTTGTAGAATATTAATAGTCTTTGGATATCCACAGAACTTTGAACTATGTAGGCTGTGTGTGAAGTAATACAACAGAATGAAAATTTATTAAGTTGTAATGGTAATATAACCAAACCAATTCCTTTGATTAGATAAAAATGAAGGGGATTTCTCTGTTGGTTTTAGAGAAATTTGAAAGAATTCTTTATTATGTTATTTTAATGACAAGTATTTCCTGGAGGTGTTTTAGAGCTGTCCTTTTGTCATTCCAAAGGGGGCCATACTAAAGCCCTGGCTTCAATGTATGGTATGTCTCATGCTTGTCAATACAACATTAGGTTTCCATTTATTTCCTCTGTTTTTTAAAATTGTCTCTGTTTTCCCAGAATCTTCTACCTCCTTTCTGTCTAAAACATAGACTAGAATTTTTTCAATGTTGGTGCTGTTGAGAAGACTGAAATCTATAGGCTACTTTGCTGTCCCAAGCTCCACTAGGGAGACTTTCTGCTCTGTGCTTGAAGGTCTCAGGAGCAAAGCACCATCAGTTTTCCCACGTGGGCCTATGCCACTTTTCAGTCCTAGTGGAAGCCATATCTGGAAGGGAATTCACAATGAAGCTACTGAAAAACTGTAAATCAGCAGTCATGCCACAAGGCTGAAAAAGTCAGAGATCTCTGCCACGGCAGGGTACTGACATGCTGAATTCGAAGTGAAGGCAATGTCCAGCCCTTTAACATAATTGGAGCAAATAACTTTTTTGCTAGATAGATAGTTTTATGCATGAAAATGCATGTGTAGTGTTCCTGTCAAGGTCTTAGCCTTACTCTGTGAGGAGGGAAGTTATCATGTTTGTAAAAGGTTCAGGTGTACTGCTGGTAGTTGCTGTTAGAGGAGCCCAGTTAGGGAGAGAGGATACGTTACGTGATAGAAGTCATGAAGGATTCGTTCCTGTATGTATCATGCGTCCCAGAAAATGCAACTAAATTACATAGAAAAGCTACGCAGAGAAGTTTCCTCACTGGGTACTAAAGTTTCTCCAGGCCTCAGTAACTTCTTTGCTGGGATGAGGAGTAAAGAATTATTTGTATGTCCTTTCAAAAGGACCTTATGGCATGTGAATAGTTAAGTTCATAAATCCACCAGAGCAAAGGGGACCTCTTGAGCTAGCAGTGTTAGGACCCCTCAGTTTCTGCAGTGAGTAGTGCACGCATAAATGGCATGGCCACCAGGCTAGTCTGAGCTAAGTTATCAACTATCTGTTTACAGCTGGCTTGAGTGGGATTTTGTGTGGTTCATACTTGCCTTTAGATCCAGTGTGATATACCTTAACCTGTGTGCCAGGATGTCCTTCTGTGGCGGGTACTTTAGCTTATTGTTTGTTTTATATTGGCACATGCTTCTTTGGGAATATGGGTAAAGGGTGCCATTTTAACACCTCTCTGCTGCTTTGTCTCTGGAAGAAATGAAGACTCGCATCTAGAAGGCCAACATGTTCTGATTCAGTAATTGTTTTTCCTAGTTCTTTACACAAACTCCTTGTTTTGGCAGCATGTGATGGCATTGGAACAGGGAGTTTAGTGTCAGCTCAGACGGTGGATTCCAGCAACATTGACAAGTTCATAAACTGTACCAAGATCAATGGCAACCTTATCTTCCTTGTTACTGGGATTCACGGGTAAGTGACAAAATGTTAAGACGTTATGTCATGGTGCCAGCTGAAATGAATTGCGTCCACCTCTTAATGATAGCCGCTGGCTTCTTTTACAGAATAGCAGATCCAGGATAAATTAGTTTTCTGCCTTCCATTATGAAGGAAACTGTTACCTTGATTCTTATGATTCAACCTCTAGGAAAAGAAAGGAGGAAGTAGACTGCGCTAGAAAGAGAAAAGACAACTGTGATCTTTGGTTACTTTATGAGATCCTCGGTACTGGCTTACAATAATGGCTTATTAGAGAATAGAAGGGAAAAAGGGAAGTTACCTTCCATTAGTTTGTTTTAAATTTCATATGGCCAGCAGTCTAATGAGCAGAATATGCAGAGAGTGCCTCACCTAGCATAAATTGCCATAGCCTGGGTTGCTGTCACGGCATATACATGCAAAAAAGCTGCCCTCTTGTCAGTCAGTTTTGAAGTATATATTCAAGTTTCAATGGCAGAGATACACAAAACTCACTGGTATTTAATCCAGTATTTTGGTTTAAATATGGCTGTATATTGAATAAGTCTTAGTAACGGTTGAAGATGCGAGGGACAGAACCAGTATTTAAAAGTCTCACCAATGTCTCCTTCTAAAGGAAGATACCAGCCAGATAATTAGTGCCTTCTGTTTAAAGTTTGGTGCACTGTGTGTTTGCCGTTGTAGCAAAGGTTAATGCATGGTGCAAATGCTGCAAGGGTGGGATGTGTCCAGGGAAGACAGACATACTCTGTTTTGATGGTCAGGTGAAGGCCAATGCAACTGGCCGTTTTCTTGCATTGTATTCTTCCTGTCATTGAGAGAACACAAATATGATTGTGTCTTCTTACTAATTCAAGCATTCATGTTGTGAATTCACCATCAGCCATGGTGAATTACATGTGACACTTTGAGGTATTTCTGGGCATACTGAAATGAACAAAATCCTCAAAATGGACGAATAAGATTAAACCCTTTTGCCCCTTTGTTGTGATAAGTATGCAGATATTTTGTGGTACATTAACAGTGTAAAGTACTCAATTGCTTCTACCACTGTGTAGGCTTCAAATTTTAACTTGCTTTTTACGTTCCTCAGAGCTTTCAACATTGCTTGCAACTGGTTGTCAACATTTGATACCTTAAATACAGTTCCCAAACCAACTCCGTGTTTGTAACTTTATGCCATAGCGAAAATGTGATTAACTGAATGTCTGCAGATTGATCTGAAATGGAATTCTGGCATAAGTAGTGCCAGCAGATTTTTCTTTAGTCTTTCTATATTATAATCTAAACATATCTGAATCTAAAGTGGTTGACACTAGGCTGCCTGGCTCAAATTTTCCTACTAGGTGAGGTGGAAAGAAATGACTAGTTTCCTTGATTTGATATAGTGATTGGTTGTAATGCTTCACCTACAACTTGACTCCAGCCATGAGAAAGACAGTTGAAAATCTACTTCAATGGGGCCCTACAGCTCAGTGATTTTCAAAAGGCCAGCAAATGTGAGCTTTGACTGTGTAGTTGGTCTTCTCGTCTCTCCAGCAGGGAGTACAGTGTGAAAGGTTAATGTAGCATAGGGAGGAAGAAGGACTTTGGTTCAAGTGGTTTAAGGAAATGCTGCTTCGAACTTGTTGAAACCCTGGAGAAGGTCACACAGGAGTCAGCGCTCAGGCCGTCACACTTTCTGATCTGGCCAAATGACTGAGAGGCTGGATGTAAATCTATTCAGTCTCACAGGACAGGAAGTACTCTAGTAAATGCAAGACAAGCAGCTAGAGGACGTGAGCAATTTTGTGTGGATTGTTCCAGTGCATTACATGAAATGTAATTTGGAGTATTAGAACTGCTTTTGTTGCAAAAGTTGTATTAGCTGCAAAGTTACGAGATGAGTCTCATTAAAAAGTCTGTCTAAATTAAAGGGACTAAAACCAACCTTGAATAAAACCGTATTCATCTGAAAAATATCTAAATTATGGACTATAAAGCAGAGGGTCAAAATATTTTGTTCTATTTTGATAGAAGAATATAAGCCTAGGACATGTAATGTTGAAACTGTGTAGCACTTTGTCTCTCATTCTTTATGAAGAAAACTCACTCCAACAAGTCTTAAGTACGACGACGCTGAGTTCTGCAACCCTAAATTTTTCCACAGCATAAATTACAGTAGTATATATTAAAAGAAGAGAAGATTTGAGAATTAGTTAAAATAACTTTATATATCTGGAACAGCTTTTTGTTTAAAATTTCTCTTACATTTTGCAAATCAATCATACAGAAAGGAAATTAAAAAAATGACACTAGCTACACAAGTAGTTTATTATATAAATGGACAGTATGGAGCAACAACAATAGTACATATTTCCACTCCAACTTTTAGTTAACTTCTTTTACAAATTCATTTACTCAGAGTGATCTGCAGCTTTTAAAAGTATGAATTTTCAGTGTTTCAGATTGTAGGGACTTAAAGTCTAGCTCTCTGTTGGGAATTGAAAGACTTTTTGTAGTGGCAGAGAATAACTTCAGTGAAAGATGCTGAGTGGATTTTTTTGTTTGTTTTCATTGGGAACTGTGCCATTACTATTGATCCTGTCATATTTTTGATCCCGTGATTCTGTAGCCTGTCTTTCCCTTTCCTGAGTACTTGAACTTCAAGTCTTGTGAATTTGTAATAATTCATATAAAAACTGTATCTATAATTATGAATTGTTTTTATGCACAATTATTTATAATAGTTTATAGATAATTATGAAGTGGCTTTAATTAGTGTCCAGAAGTTAAATGGGATGAAGGTAGACCTAAATTTTGGTGAGCCAGTAGTACTCATTCTTCTAAGGTAATGCTCTGCTGAAGTGTATGGATGAAGTGATCTTCATTAGGATACATATCTGCTGCCTGAGACAGAGACCGAAAACACATTGGCTGGAAAATGGGTAGGACCTGTATAGGTCAGATGCAGTCTTTTCTCTACTGTTTCCTTCTGGTTGGGGTGCTAAAAAGCCAAGCTGCCTTCCGCTTGTGTTGCTGCCTGTGAAGGGGTGGGATATACCAAGGAGGGCTGTACTTTAAGGATGGACAGCCCCAGCTAGCAGCAAATGCTGCCACCTCCTTCTTCCCACTTGCAGCAGGAGCAACAAGCCCTCAGTGCTCACCAGCTTTTTATCTTCCCTTTAGTTGTCCATCTCCAGTTTCACAGTGAGCTGAAACTCTCATTCCTGGAGCTGTAAAATTCAGCTATGCCTGTTCTACTGAAAAATCTTGGCTCTGCTAATAAGAATGGTAGAATATGATTGCATTATTCCACAGTTTTATATGTTGATAAAACATATCAGTCATTTGGCTGCTTAAGGCGGTTAAATGTATATTTGTAACTTTAAAGACTACTTTATGTTAGGATTTGGAGGTGAAATTCAGCAACCTCATGCTTAGTACAGGCAAGGGTTTTCCTTTTTTAATAGTAATGCATTGTAAAAGCAAAATGCTGTGTTTCTGTTAGGTAGTCAAAACTTGTTGCCTAGTTTTCTGAGAGCCCCAAATTGTTAAAATTAAGTGTATATGATGCTTCTGTGGTGCACTGGGCTTTATGCTAAGGTTCGAGAGCTTGTTTTGTTGCTGCTAATCTGGAATGGCCTCCAGAATGGTTAGAAGTGACCCCATCAGTCTGTCGCCACACAGATTTCTGAGGCCTATCCCCAAAGACAGCCTGGTTGATTACCTCCATGTTCCAATTCCAAGAACGACGTCTCTTGGAAAGCAGAAGGAGCAGAGGTGGAAATGTGTGCTCCACATTTACTGAGGATGTTTCCTACCCTCAGAAAACCCTCAGAAATACCATAACAATGTGTTACAAAAGAATCTTTTCCTGAATTTTTAAAGGATTTTTGTTTGGATTAGGCTTCTAGTTGGCTTCTTAAATAGTTGGAGATTCTTTACTCCTTTAAAATTTGGGGTGGGGTGGGTGGAATTATTTGCTTAATGATGGCACTCTCAAAATCAAGGTCAGCTTCATCTTTTTACACTGTAGCATATGTAACTTTGAGATTTTAATGTTTGGGTGTATTTCATTTCTCAGGTGACAAACTTGCTTGGCAAGGGTCTGTGCTTTTTGATGTTCCCTGTTCAACACCTTCTAAAAAGTGTACCCTTTTAATGCCATGTGTCAGGAACCGCTGGCAAGCTCTTAGTTTTGTTTGGCTTATAGCTTGTCACTCGTTTCAGTAGCAGTTTTGTTAGTCCTGGTAGTACAGTATCACAACTGTACCATTTGAGCTAGTATTCCTGGAAAAAATGTTGAAAATTCATCTTTCTTTTAGGGAGATCACCCATGCTTGTTCAGAATCCCTTAATTTTCTATGAGCATAAATATTTGCTAAAACATTAATGATTTGAACCTTAAAGATGCTAGGCACCATTATTTTCCATCAAGATGACTTGGGAGAAGTTAGACACAGGTTCTGCAGGAACAACAGTCTGAAGAAATTGGAAACAGTCTGAAGAAATCCGAATCATATGCTGCCTAAAAGCAAAGTGTTGACCTCCTGAATACTGCTTTCTACATGGTACAGCTTTGAGAACATGATCTTTTTTTATTCAGAATATCCCATTTTGTCCTTTTAATCTTTCAGAGACCGTATCACATTGTCCTTTTAATCTTTCAGGGACCCGTATCACACAATCGCCGCAATCAATCCAGAGAAATTAAATATCTTCCAAACAGTGAGAGAGATAACAGGTAACACACTTCTGATTTCATATAATCTGAACTTCTCAGGTTGCTTTTATGGTTGTCATTTGTTGGGTTTTCTGAAGAACACAAGGTGCTTTTTTCTTTCAACTCAACTGCACTGTAAACTTCATAAAAGTTTAATACACAACAACTTCAGTATCAGTTGATCTTTACAATGTGTTGTCCTTTGCTCATGAATACAGAATACCCATTATGTTTGGGGTACACAAGCATCAGAAGACCAAGACATTACTGTTGAGTGGGCAAGGGGTCTTGGTCTTCACTTGAAAGCATTTGAAATATACCTTGGAAAAAAACAGACAAGCCAGTCTGGTTTTGCAGCTTCTTCTCTTGGTCTAACAGCAGATGCTGCTGCAAATTAGCTTCTGTAATTTAAAGACAAATGTATAATGTGTGGGGTGATAGTCCCTCCCATCTTTTGTGGCTTTTCAGTGGGGTCATATAACTAGAACTCAGTACTTCTTTTCTTGCATCTTGCTGGTTGTTGTTTCACCATTCGGGGGATAGGGAGGAAGATACTACAGCTCTGAGTTCTCAATTGATTGCTGATAATGTATAGATAGGGAAATGAAAAAAAAAATTCTATTTCATGCACAAAAAAAAAAATCTTTGGACGCTACAAGCATGATTGTAGCTGGGTGGAGCTCAACAGGGGTTTGGCATTTGAAATGAGTTCTCTCCCATGTGCTTCACCTCTCAAAAGTTGTGTATTTCAGCAAACCAGTGGGATTAAAAAATGAAAGTAAGCTGTAAATCTCTCCCTAATTAATGTAAAAGATAATCTGGCATCTGGGTGTCTGTAATTTGCCATTCTTAAGCACACTGTCTAATTGACAGTCTCAGCTCTACTACTTAAGTGGAATTACCCCTATGCTTCAAGATGTACTGCATTTCAGTCCAGTACTGAATCAAAATCTTAGGGAACTGCACTCTGTAGAGGTCTGTGTAGCACAAAATAAGTAGTCCCACATATTTGTGCAGAGAATGCTCTCTGGATTAACAGTCCTCGCACACGCACGCACTCAGAAACGAATGCAAGTTCTTTGTTTTAGGGAAGTCTTGTCATCTTTAGTGCATCATAACGGATCTCTCAACTTCTGTCCCAAGTCTCTAGCACATTTTAAAACTAAATGTTCTTAATTCAGGCAAATCTCCATTTTTCCTGCTGCTGTTTAGAAAAGGCTGGGACGCCTTGCAAGATTTCAGCCTGTGTTTAGGTTCACCCTCACTGTGTCTGTTGAAAGTGGACGTAATGCTGCTGTGACTGTTAATCCTCCTTTGCCTTCTTGGAGGAAACAGTGGTGAGCAGCCTGATGAATTTAAAGACAGTAGTCTGCAGCATTCATTACCTATTTATTTCTTTTTCTCAGACCAGCAGTGTCTTTCATTTATAGGCTAAGCCTATCCTAATTCATGTATGTGATAAAGCAGTCTTTATGGCTGAAGTCATTGATATTCGTATGCTTACCTTTTTCTCCTTCAGGGTATTTGAACATACAGTCATGGCCTGAGAATATGACAGATTTCAGGGTGTTTTCTAACTTGGTTACTATTGGTGGAAGAGCTCTCTATAGGTAAGGTACTTCCTCTGTTGATGGAATCGTTTTTTATTAGTATTCAATGATTCTTTGTTCAGTAGCACAGAACACAACATCCTTTGGGACGGGCATCATAAATTGATATGTTTTTCTTTGTTACCAAGGTATTCATTACCAGTATCTTTGCTAATCAGTTGTTTATAATGGGTAATATCTTTTGAACATAATGATTTAAAAAAATCCCCAAAATACCCAAAAAACCCCCATCTTGGTTCATTGCTGTAGCTGTTAACTCATTGTCCAGAAAGTACATTTAATGGTTTAAAATACCTTGTGAATGTGAAACATAAGTTAAAAGACATTAATAGCAGAATTTAGCCCCCTTATCAGGAAGTTTATATGGTTGCGATTGGAAGTGCAGGCTCATGTGCCCAAAGAACAATGTGGTCTTAAGAAATGGTAAAAGATAAATACTTGGAAGAACACTGAAATCACTGAGGTACCATGCAGGTGGGGTGTACATTAGCTCTGTAGTGCCATTTTTACCAGAGATGTTTCCGTATGAATAGTCATATGGAAGAGTTCGTTTGAAGAGAAGAAAATGTGGTGAGAAATAATGAGGGAAGCACAAGAAGGTATCTGAATGATATATATACAGCAATCCCTGGTTCCCCATTGTGTAAATATATAGTAAATCAGTCATGGTATTCTGCTGGCATCTTAAACAGCAACCCAAGCAGATTATGAATAGCAGTGAAACCTTGAGATTGAATTACAGCCTAGCATTCTGTTTGGAAGCAGCAATTTTTATTTGGAACAGCTGGAAAACAATTACAACCATTAAAATACAATAACTTAAAGGATGCCCAGAAACTGGATATTGTCTTCACTGTTTTTCAGTCATAAAATATATGCAGTCATTCCCGTGTTACACAGACAATCATTTACCATTCCTTTGATGAAGAACGGAGATAACCACATATTACAACAAAAGAAAAATGAAATGTAGAAAGTGGGCTGGAAAAATTTCCTTGAAAATAACAATTTCTTCCTGTATTACTATAAATGACATTAATTTGGTGCCTGACAGAAGATGTTAATACATTTTGCATGACTTTGTCAGTTTCTCCTTAGCATATAAACTACCATAGTATTAATTCTGTCGTCTTAGAAAAAAAAAATCTGGATTTTATTCAGTTTTCTCAGCAGCACTTTGTCTCAAAAAACATGTTAATGGATGAAATGGAACTAGTTGAGGTGTTTTGCTGGCCCAGTTGCCCTAGCGCTGCGAGCATCACAGCTTGCGGTATCACGAGTCTTACAGGGCTCGTAATTTTTCTAGGCAACAGAACTGGATGTTGACTCATAAAATATTTGTGTCACCCCAAAATAAAAGTTTTCTGACCAAATTTCAGTTTTGCCAGAAAGATCATCTTGACATTAGGAACTAATTCTAGTGGGAAATTCCCAACCAGCTCTAATAAGTTTCGCCTTCTGGAGCTAATTCCTGTTCTCACTTTTGTTTTCATCACAGTGGCCTTTCCTTACTCATCCTAAAGCAACAAGGCATTACCTCTCTGCAGTTTCAGTCCTTGAAGCAAATCAGTGCTGGCAACATCTACATAACAGACAACAGCAATTTGTGCTACTACCACACTGTCAACTGGACCAGCCTCTTCAGCACACCCAGTCAAAAGACGGTCATTCATCGAAATAAAAAAGCAGAGAACTGCAGTAAGTACTGCTGCTCAGTGCAAATCTTCTTGCCTATGATTAGCTCACATGGGGGGAAAATGATACAACTACTGACGGGATACAGTGTAGCGAGCAGGCCAGAAACTTGGCTGATGTCTCTTGGAGCTCCATGGACATCAGTGGATCTATGGTCATTTACAGACTCTAAGGATTTGGCCCAATCTGCATCCGAGCAGATTTATGGGCAAATGAAATCTTTTAAGGTATGAATAAATGAAAGGGAGAAGAGAGAGGGTACTACTTCCTTACTGTGATGTGAACTTTCCCAATTAGAGATCCAGTTTCACAAATAGGAATTCTGAACGCCGTAAATGCGGAGTGAATGTAGCATTCATGAAAGGCACTGATTTTACAGATTTGAAAACTACAGCCCTTTCCTTGTAGAGTGAGATTAGCATCTTTTGCTTCCCCTACCCTGCTTCACCAAAGAAGCCCTGTCTTAATCCAGAAAGGTGACTTTTGGGACTGGTTTTGATCACTAGGTTCCTCCTTTCTGTACTTGACCTATCTGATAAGGAAGAATACTTTTAATTGGGCCTAATTGTCTTTCAGGAAAGCTTACGTGCCAATACTTGGACTGAGATCATAGTACTGAAAAGCAAATGAATGCTACGTAGCAGATGAAACAATTTGGTTATGCAGAAATCAGGCAGCAAATTGCATTAATACAGCCATTTTGTAGCAGCAATACAATTCACTTTAAGCATCTGTTAGACTGCTAGCAAGAGAGGAGATTCATTAAATTGCTGCATGTTTAAGTGATATTTCTGGGTTTTGTGCTTTGACCAGCCAGAAATGTTTGCTTTGGTTTTTTTCAGGCTGTCGTCCTACTCTTAACTTATTCTTTTATTTCTTTTTTTTTTTTTTCCTTTGCTTTTTCCCCTCCCTTTGAAGTATTATTCTGTTATGCTTTGAGGGAATTTGTGGCTGTGCTTATCACTGTGGTATGAGGGTACCTTCCAGTGTTAGGTGAAAGACAACTATACATTTATCAGTGCTGCTCAGTTATTTTTCTAATCTCTTCTGCCATGTAAGAGCTACATGAAGTGGAAATTCTTGTTTGGTAGGTCTCTGTGTGGTTTTGTTTTGTTTGTTGTTGTTATTGTTATTATTTGGCTGTTTCTCTGCATACAAATTAAAAAAGTGAAGGTTAAAGAAATGCCTCTTGCTGTTGACGTAGATAATTTAATTGTGACCATGCCTGAGGGTGTAGAGGGAAAGGATTGTTTCTTAACCTCCAGCAGACCACTGTCTGCTTTTAAACTGCAGCATACTTTATCCTTTGACGTAAACATTCTGTTATGTGAGACGGAAGGATGTATTGAACAGAACTTTTCTTGGTAGAAGGTTTTGTGTATGTTTGTAAAAGATGTCCTTGGTGTAGCAGTGAAACTATGGATTAGACCCTTACATTTGGTAGAATGTTTTGTGGGAATGCAATACAGAAGGTGGAGGAGAGGTGTAGTGTCTGCTGGTACTTCTGTGGTTAGGAAGTGCACAAGCGTGTCCTGTGTGTTGAACAGCTTCATGCCCTGGTGTCCTTACTGCTGTAACCCAGCCAAAGGCATGAGTAAATGTCTCCAGGTGGTTGTCTGTGAGAGTACTGTAGCTCTTTTCGTCATCCAGAGATGATCGAACATGTGATGATAATGTCCTGTGGGAATGAAGTGTTGATGAAGAGTCCAAGAATAGTCCTGAATAATGAAATGAGTTAACCAGTTACAGGACAAAGAAGGTTGTACAGTCTCTATTTTCAACACACCCAACTTCATCTTGTTCTGGATTAGCTCCAGTTGCTCAACATCCGTGAGCTTTGTACCATCTTAATGTCTGCTGTTCTCTTGTTTTTTTGTTTTTTCCATCTCAAGGCTTTTTCTTTGCTTTGAGTTCTTCTGAGTGTGAATATTATTTGAACATTGAATAAGATCAGCCTTGCAAGGGAATAGCATGCATTTTCTGGCACTGTCAGCTCCTTAGAAACTTGGAGGAAATCTCCTGACTTCCCATGAATAACTAGTGCCTTCAGTCTTGCCAGCTAGAGCATTTGTAAATGGCTTGTAGTTCTGGTATGCACTCTGTTTTTCCTGCTCTCCTCCCCCTGCTCTCCCCCCCCCAACCAAAGCCTACTATGAAAAATTGTATATTATTTGGCAAATAGGGGTGTTGCCAAGAAAGAGAATCACATCTGCCCAGGGATGGTGGATTGCTAGTTGCTTTTCCCTGTTAGTGTTGGAGTGGTATAGGATCAAGTGGCGGGGAGGAACCTAGTTCTGTGCTAGCAGTCTAGTAACAAGTGTATTTCGTATGTCATGATAGGAAGAATTTAACCCTTTGAGATTTCACCTAAGGAATTTCTTCAGCTGACAGAACAGAATCTGTCTGAAATAGTACAAGGTCTTGATGACTGTGCAAGAATCACTAGGGTTATATTCCAGGATCCTAGTGGTCCCATCTTGCTGTGAGATACATGAACCTGTGAACCTTCCAGAGAGTACAAGATTCCTCTCTACCATATGAAAAACTGCTGACTGTGGGAGAAACATCTTGCTCTCGATGCTCTTTGATGTTTTCTAACAGCAGATTGGCTATAGCTGTCTGATAATGATGCATCATTTAATGAAAGAACAACCAGCTGTCTTCCATTGCTAGAGATTTAGTATAAAAATGTCTCATACAGTAATGCTTCCTCTTTGCTTCAAGCTCTCTATAACTTACAATGTGTTAGAAGACAGTGCAAAAACCACTCAGGTGAACTTCGTAAGGCACTTTTCCGTTCATGGAATAGAGTCCCTTCTGTTTTGCTGGTTTTGAGAGCTTGGGGACATAGCTGAACACAGTAGTTTGGAAGATATTCTCATACTAGTTGTTAGCACTCCTTTGTCAAATACCTCTTTGCCCTTTCCTGTGATCACTAAGTTCGAGTTCCTTTGAAGCAGCCACAACTACTGAAACATGGGCTTTCAGGGCAAATGCAAATTGGATGTACTGTCACATCATCCTCTTGCACTGTACGTCTTGTCACTACATTTGCACACAAAGGGAAAATGTAAACTTTATTTGACTTTTAGCTTGCTGAGGATTTGTTATAATAGACTCATCATTTTCCAGGAAGAAAAATACTCCTAAAGATATTTCATGAAATTTAACACCAAGGGAATCTTCATGAGGAAAACAAATCTCATTAATTTCATTTTAAGAAGTCACAATGTAAGCCACAGTACCAAGGGACTAGTTTTAAAAATGGACTCTAACCTATGTTCATTAAATGGACTGCATATAATGAACGCAGGCTAGGGGCCAAGTTACTCTGATCAGAATGCAGTGTCTTAGACAGTTGACTTCCTGAATCCTAACAGGGAACAGTGGTTTTCTCTCTGTATGCACATCTGTGTGAATGAATTGATTAATGTTTTGTGGCCTTTTGAGAGTCAGCATTAGATGAGAAGAGCTATCCTGCTGCTTCAACTCTGCCTGTCAGTCAGCACCTCTCTGGGGTTAAATGGGTTCTGCTGCAGGTTAGAAGTCTAACTACAATCTTCACAATTACTTGGAGTAAGGCAGAGCTGTTCCTTAGCGCCAGATGGATTTCTCCAGCATCCTCTGAGACATCTGTGATTTTCAGGATAGGCCAACAGACTGGGGTTTAAGAGAGTTTTCTCTAAATCTTCCACTGCCTGAATGTTTGTGATCTGAGGGCAAGCCTCTAGGGTTTCAATTTCTACCTTTCAGTTATTTTGCCTGTTCTAGCCCCTGATCCTGCAGATGCTTGGGCATATGCCCATGCCTCTCTGAGTGACAAAGACGACTAGTCAGAATGGGGAAGGGAAATGCCTAAGTAAATATTTGCAGGATTGGAATCCATCCTCTACGGTAGAAATACTGTCTGCTTGCATGGTAGCTAGCAGGGTGTGAATTGTTAATAAAAATACCCATTAAACATTTTTTTCACATGGTTTCCAATGAAGAACCAAGTCTAGACCATGTTAATTATTACAGCCTCTCTCAGGTATGTTTATTATTATTCCTTTGTATATTTTGAGTCACTATCAGCTTGGTTTTGCTTTCCTCACTACCTAGTGATTGTTAACGGCTTAAAGCAAGGTATAGCAAACATTTAATATCCATGTGTAGCTTTTCTTAAAACTTGTGTAAGAGCTTCCAAGATCTGGTAAGCATCATATTTAAGTGACTCGTAGGATATATCACAAGATGGTGATATCTTTTCCATACCGTTTAATACTGTGTTCAGCTGACCATATAATTCAATGAGGAAATATTAAAAAAATTGTTAAAGGAGTAATTATTTGTGGAAAAGTTCAGTCTATAGTGATGCTTCATCTTTGAGATAACACTGACATTATAGGGTTTGACAGAACTCTGATTCACACCCCCCTCCCCCTCCATAAGGAAGATAAAGACAACAGGCTTCAGAGAGTAGAAAATGCTACAGAATTATCCAACATGCAAAATATACTTTATATAGTGATATTTATATTTATATATTTATATATATATATTTATGATACTGTCAATTATTTCATCTTGCTATTTCTGCCACTTCGTAACAATGTTAAAGTAGTCACCAAATATTTCACCACCTTTGAGATGGCTTTTCCAAAAGCTGGTTAAAAGCCTAGGGCAGACTTCACTTGTTTGTAGAATGTTGAAAATACTGGAGCAAACCATATTTGTGTTTTTTGAAT